CATACTTTTATGTGCATCCAATGAACATTATGTAACTTATGCATGTGCATACACTAATTTTATAATGTGCACTATCGAAGTTTGTAAATAAAAATGTATGCATTATACAATTTAATTTTCAAGTTTTTATTTTGTTCTCTTTTATGGATTGGAAGTGTCATTAATAGAAAAATAAAAAATACTCCCATCACCCCAGTGTATTCGTTTAGTTGGAATTTTTCGAGTCAACTCAATTACTCTCAATTTGTACTAAATTAATGATATCAAATTTTGAAAGTTCTCAATAAGATAAATCTAATAAAATCATTTTTATGCTAATATGCATAATTTTTATTTAGTTATAGTCCAAAGTTTTTCCAGTTTGACTCCAAAAAGTGAAGCTGTATAATTACACTAGGACATAGGTAGTATATTTTAATAATGAAATGGATATTGTAGAATTATTAGATATGCGTTCATCAATTGCATAATATGCATGCTCTAAGTATATGCAAAAGACAAATGTTCAAATGTTAGGCTAGCACTGCGACAATATTGAAGGAAATGTGATGGCAGTAGGGGAAGGCGCAGTGGTGGGGAGGAGATGACACCGGTGTGAGGTGGTGGTAGGGAAAGAAAGAATTTGAAGGCAAGTAGAAATTAAAGGGGAGAAAGAAATTACAGAGTATTAATTTATGGTTTTAAGGTATTTTGATACATTTATAATATTATTTAATAATTAAAATATTGATAAACTCTATGTGGGCAATAAAAAACTTAGACTCCTATGTTTTTGCTACAAAACTCATACTCTTATTTAGGTAAAGTAATTATGTTTCTTTAGTTCTATTTGGGATAAATTTCTCTTCGATAAAAGGTTAACTCGAAACCAATCCAAAAAACAACTTAACTCATTTTGCAGGTTCACCACATCAATTGTTTTTGCGACCCTAATTTTCAATTAACCACACAACTTTATTATTACAACATGTATTTTAAAAAGTTGATTTTGTTGGGGTAAAGGCCCCAGGTTCTCATGGCCCAAAGGGAGATCTGGCCCAATAAAATAAGGCCAAATAAGGTCTAGGGATGGTAAAAACCGAGTAAACATTTGTGTGGATCCAAGAGTCGGACCAAATTTGAGCTTGTCCTCTTCAACTTATTCTTATTGGATCAGAACCCAAACAACTTTAAATACAACTACAATCAAATCAAAACTTATTCAATTTCAATTAGATCCAAATCAATCAGATCAGTGAAGAGAACAAGCCTTTAGCAAATATCAAGAGAAATAGTGACCACACACGGGAGACAGACCGAGCGAGAAGCCTATTCGAGTTGATGCACTACGTTGGATCCCTAGGACAAATGGTGACAATAGCCTCAAGCCACAAGACAAAGAGGATATTCGTACTGAGCACTAATGGAGGGAGGACGTGTGTCACATTTGTACCTCGGTAACCGTCACTGGTCATAGACATTTCCTGCGTGCCAAACGAATTAGTAGACAGAGTAGTGGCCACGTCGACCACCTTGTCGAAAGCAATCCTATAAACACCCATCTCCTCTCAGTGGGGGGGTTGTAGTATTCTAGTGTGAGGGGAAATGAACTTCAGTGATTTTTTTCATATAGTCTTACTATAAAAATTAATAAAGTAAAAGAATGCTCCTAGTTCAGAAAATTGTGCTCCCAATAAAAAATGTACGAGTGAAAAAGTTGGGAAAACAATTAAAATTATAAGAAAAAAATCTGAAAAGAAAAATTTTAAAATTACAAGAGTAGAATGTGAAGGTGAAATTATACAAAGTAGTTTTTGAGATTTTTTGTTAATCATTTGAATGTCTGTTTTAGATAAAATTAACATTTTTTTCATTTCACGTTGTCTTCAAAACAAATTTCCAGGGTCGTTGCCCGCCAACCCCATACTTTTTTGCCCTGAATTTCTTAGTTTCTTGGATTCGCCATTGTCCGCTCCACTTAGACAAGCGACTGAAAGAGAGCGAGAGAAGAGAGACAGCCGCTACGCCGCCATGCTACCCCGTCATAGCTAGAGTTAGAGTAGTCCTTTTTATTTCTTCCTCATAATTGCCTCCGCGCTACGATTTTTGAATATTTTTGTAGTATACTCTTTTACTGGATCAATAAGAGTATTACCACTTCTAAATTTCATCCTTAATTTATACATTCATAAACCTCCTTTAAAGGAATGATATTGGATCTTTTGGGCCATCCCCGGAGCACTTTGCTCCAGCCCATTGAAACTCCCACAATCCATAGGACTCCATTTAGCTTCCTCAACTAGGTTGTCTCTCGTATGTTTCAAACTCATTTAGAAAAACGAATATATTTAGTGTTATTTTAATTCAAGTAAAAATGGAAGCATAATGAGAGAAATGACTATATAATTGATTTGTTTGAAAATTTAAGGGTTGTAAATAAATAAGAAACCACAAAAACAAATGCAGATGCATATCGATAAGAAACGTCAAACTTTAATGCCAGTCTGCCACTGTGAAAAGGCACTACTGCATTCACAAACAAGCATCACGATGAACTAAAAATGTATCATTATATTTTATCTCGTTATAAATCATTCTCACCTGAACCGTATGTACTCAATATGGAGCCTTTTTTAAGAGTTATACTACCTCCAGTCCTATAAAACTTTTCCAACAAAAAGGTAGATTTCAGAAACATGGCTGGCCCTAAATCTCTATAACCCTAGTTTATATTTCTATAAATATTTTTATAAATTTTTACATCTATTGAATATTTGAATTCAAAGAGCCACACATCAAATCGAATTAAACCTCCAAAATCAAGTCGATGCATTGTTGTATTGAAATAGTGAATCATAATTCACAAATCATAAGGAAATGAGATTCGGGAAGATTGAAGGAGTAAAAGGCGGTGTAAAGCCGAAACCTGAACGCCTGAACGAGGCTGAGCCGCTGCTGGCTGCTACAAGTCGCGAGACGCAAAGAAATACTCCGTGTGAAATTAGAAAGGAATTGTGGAGGAAATCAGGCTGCTGCTTCAGCGCTTCTCCCTTACCCTTTTCGACAGGGGTGGTAAGGTATTTCGATTTCTGTTAGATATGAGATTTTATTTTGTAAGGATCCCTAAAAATCGGTTCGGTATGGTTCGAGATAGTTTGGTATCGATTTCGGTACAAATCGGGATAAATATATATACCTAGTTTACACGTTAAAATTTAACAATACTCCTTTATTTTTGAAAATTAAAAGTAAATTTAAATAAAAAATATGAAAAATTAAAAAAAGGAATATTTAAATGCAAGAGATGCGTATCAAAACTTAGTTTATATTTCACAAACTAAAAAATGAATGACAACAAAAGAGTATTTCGAATCTTTGTGAATACTTTTATGTTCATACATAAAAATTACTCCGTAAAACTCAAATAAAAGTATAATTTACACATCATAGAACTTGAATCAATTTTTTTTAAAAAATAATTATTTAGTGAAGGAATATAAAAATATTACTCCGGGGTATTAATTTTTAGAATATTTTAGTATATATGTTCGGTACGGGATTTCGGTATGGGAGGTCACCTCGTACCGTTCCCGAATACCGTACCGACTATTCAGGTTCGGTATGATTCGGTTTCTTCTCGGTACTTTTTCGGTTAGTGTTCTGTATTTTTCGGTTCGGTGTTCTCGGTTTTTTTGGGAAATTTCGGTATCGGTTCGGTACTTGCTCACCCCTACTTTTCGACCATATCGCAAGACAGCCAAGACGCCTAAAACTATTTTTTATTCCTTATTCATGGCTCAAATTTAGTCCATTTTATTGATAAATTTCATTATTTATTTGATAAATTAATATACTCATGTCACATTAGTTTCGTAGATCTTTTAATGTATTTTTGAATATATAATTTTTACTTTTAATTTCCACGCTAAATTTTCAATGAGATTAATTAAAAATAAATTACCCAACCATTGTAAGACGCTATAGATAGTTCAATTCGAGATCAGTTCAAATACGATTTGGATATCAATCACTTCAGTTAGATTTTTGTTTTCAGATACATTTCAGTCGGATATATTTCGATTTCGGATATATTTTAGTTTAGATATATTTTGGGTTTGGATATAATTCGAATTGAATATATTTTGGATATATGTTATTTTCTAATCAAAATTTAATTATGCATGTTTATATTTTGATCATATCACATATATGATTTTATCATCAATGCATCACCCCATGTTATTTTACATTTTTCTAACTATACTCCCTCCATCATAAATAATATTCCATTTTTACTATATAGTCATATTTTACAAAGTTGGACTGCAAATTATAAAAACAAATATATTTAGTAAAGAAATTGAATGTAATTGGTACAAATTGAGTGAAATTATTTGAAATTCACTCATTTTTACTTCTAAAATTGGTTGCAATTGAATGACTTTTAATACAATTGAGTGCAAAAACTAGTGAAATCATTCGAAGTTCAATCAATTTTATTCGTAATTAGATGAAATTGAATACAATTCTGTTAAAATGAAGTGAAATTGGGTGAACTTAGATCCATTTACTTGAAATTAAATAAAATTAAATCCAATTCGATAAAGTACAATCAATTTTACACCTAAATTGAATCAAATTGCATACAATTGGATTACATTGAAGTGAAAATAAATTTAATGGAGTTCAATTTTTAATTTAATGTTTTAGAATGCAATGCACGAGTTCAAATCTAGTATATACATAGAAAACCATTAAAATGGAATAATGTACCGTTATAATCAAATAAGGTTGAGGTTGAATTTAATGAGATGATTTAATGAAAATTAATTAAAACTTAGAGAAATTCATTTAATTTTTTGTCAAAATATTGTTTCAATTGGTTTGGATTGAAAGCAATTAGGTAAAAATTGAGTGAAGTTTGACAAATTACATACGACTAGATTTAGGGGCTGTTTGTTTCAGCCTCTTAATGGTTCAGATGTCTGAATGGCTCAAACATTTGCCTCTAAATAGTTAAGTATTATACAGAGTCTGAATGGTTAAGACCTCTTATCTGAATTGATCAGACATTTGCCTCTGAATAGTTAAGCAATATACTAGCTCTTAATGGTTCAGACCTCTTACTGGTTCAGCACTTAATGGTTCAGACCACTTATTGGTTCAGCACTTACCTATTCAGAAGTTGCCAAACAGCCCCTTAAATGTGTTGAAATTGAGTAAAATAAAATGTAATTAGATAAAATTTGGGTGAAATTGAATGCAATTCAGTGAATAATTGTGTACATAAGTTTAAAACTAATCAAATATACTCCCAAATAAAATTAAATTAAATATAATCAGATGAAATTAAGATAAAATTGGTTTTTTCATGCAATTTAATATTTTTTTAGTAATTTCATAAATGATCCATTTTAATGATAAATATTTTAGAGTGGAGAGAGTAAATAGTATAACTAGTTAAAATGGTAAAATAAAAGTAAAAACTTGAAATCACATGAATGCAATCGTGCACTAATGCACATAAGTATAATATATTTATTGTTAAGTAAAATATGTTTCGGATGTCATTAGTTTCAGATATAAAAGTTTCAGGTATTATTAGTTTCAGATCTTATCGCTTTCAAGTCTTATCGGTTTCAAGTATTATCGGTTTTGGATATTATCGGTTTCATGTTTCATCGATCAGATCTGAATAGTTTTGGATTTAAATGGGGTATGAATATTTTTAGTTCGATTTTGGTTCGGATCATTTTGGTTTTTTGGTTATAGATCGAATCTTCTTTTTTTAGATCATTTCGATTTCGATTTCAGATAATTCGGTTCGGGTTCTATTTTACCAAGTCTAATAAGCTGCTAAGAAAAAATTATTTGGACAATTTAGTTATTTATACCGTCCCAAAGTATTTGTCTAATTTGGCTTTTTTAGTCAACTGATTTTAATCTTTGACATATAATTAAATAAAATATATATTGTATATTAATTAGATAAAATAATATTTTGAAAATATTTTATATAATAAATCTAATAAAACTATTTTTGTATCAATATCTAATATCATTTTTATTTAATTTTGTAGTTAAAGTTTACCAGTTTTGATTGAAAAAAGTTAAAAATGGACAAATACTCTGGGACATAGTGAGGGATTATTTGTAATGAAAATTATTTTAAGGCATGCATCCATGATAAAAATCTGTTTTCGGTTTTAAAAAGTTTAATTTTTTTTTGAAATGATAAAAACACACACACACTATCAAAGTAAATGAGTTGTCAAGGAACCAACTCAACCAAAAGCTCAAGAACAGTTATTTATATTTTAACACACCCTCCTCACGTGCAGGAGTAGTCTTTTTCGAGCCTTGCACGTGAAACCTTAATTTTTTTAAACTAGGTGGCGCTGAGTTTTGAACCTGTGACCTCTTAGTCAACAAGGCTCCGATACCAAGTCAAGGAACCAACTCAACCGACCGAGGAATAGTTATTTATATTCTAACACAATTAATATGCACTTGAGGAGGGTGAAACAAAAAATAGTGTTTAAAAGTTTAACAAACAACGCCTTAGAATATAAGTGAAACAAAACGCATCAAATTAATAGAGACGAGAGGAAATATATACATCAAACAAAACACGCATCTTAATTAATTCCTTTTGACACTCTTAATTAATTGGTTTGTTTTTCTTTTGCAAGATTGACACTTTTAATTGTTGTCTATTTAAAGAAAACATGAGGATGTAATGGATGAACATAAACGTGACTTTTTGAAAGACTTTACAATAGAAAACATTAGAAACCAATTCAATTAAACTGATTAATTTATGAAAGATTGTATACTACCATGCATGTCGTAACAAGTTTTTTTCTCACGTGCGTAATTATTAATTTTTCTCTTAAAAAAGGAAAAAAAGAAAACAATTAATTTCATCACCTTCTAAGGACAAAGAAGTAAATTCACCTGTAGTAAATCTTGTGGGCAAACAGTGGGTGTGGGTGTGACTGAGAGAAGAAAGCTTTGAAGATTAGAACGCCTGAAGAAGAATGGTGGACTTGTAGGGGGAGAAAGAAGAGACATTTTGATGCATGTATATATTCAAAGATAAAGATAAGACAAGAGTTTCATCACATTTGATCTTGAGGTTTATATGCATGTCTCTCTCACTCCCCTATATATATATATATATATATATATATATATATATATATATATATATATATATATATATATATATATATATATATATATATATATATATATATATATATATATATATATATATATATATATATATATATATATATATATATATATATATATAGGGGCCGGTTCCCGTGAGAATGCACCTTGTGGAGAGAAATGAGAATAAAATCTAGCCGTCGGATCTGATGCATCGTGTGGCTCAGATTGCATCCTGCGCTCAGATTTTGAGATAGTGCATTTTCGAAGTTTTATGGTGCATTTCGACGTGATGCATTTTCGAACCATTTTGGTGCATCTAATTTTGATGAAATTTTGACCCTTAGATCTCACAATCTAAAGCACCAGATTCATTCTCATTTCTCTCCTAAGATTGCATTCTCACCAGAACCAAAATCTATATATATATATATATATATATATATATATATATATTCAATGAAAATGATGAACCAATTAATTGTAAAGGGGTAACTAAAAATAGTTAAATTATCGCCTTTAGTGCATTGATTAAGGCATACAATGTTTTTAATTAATGTTAGAGTTTTAGATTATTTTTAAAATGTACACATTAACTTTAGAAATACTAAAATTAACCGTTGCTATTAGATGTGAAGTAGTTTTTTTCAAAACGTTAAAGTTACAGTAATTGTTTAAGTTGTTACTAAATAGAACCTAAGAGAAGAGATTCATTTGCTAATGCATTAGTGAATGATTAAGGGAAATGACATTTACAATCTCCTTTTTCCTATTGCTGACACTCCAAAAAGCATGCACTATATATATTGGAGGTGAATAATAGTGTATTTTTTGAGTGCCAATAACAAAAAAGGTGTAAATTAAATATCATTTCTATTATATTTATCAATAAGAAAACCATCATGTTTTGTGATCTTAACCAATGCCATGATCAGCATTTTCCTTAAATAAAAATATATTTCGGGGTAAAATAATCTTGTATACTCTCGTCCCATAATTTGTCCTAAATATTCTTTTTCAGATATATGCAAAAATTTTATTATGAATTTATTATTTCTTTGGAAAAATGAATTAAGTGCTCTGATCTATACTACTTTGAGTATTTTCTCTATTTTACATTAATCTTAGTCACTATTTCAAAAAATAGTACTCCCTCCGTCTTATATCTTTCTTCCCGGTTCGCAAAACGAAGAAAAATCCCAAGTTTTTTCAATCTATTTTATTTAAATATTGGTATAAAAATAAAAAATAAAACATACATATTTAAAAACTACATCAAAAGTTCAACAAAACAAGTGGTGACAAAAATATTTTATTTTATCATATAGGCCATGAAAAAACACAAATGAATATAAATTCCCGTGAAGTTGGAATAGTGCTCTGGGAAGAAAGTTTTAGTACGGATGGAGTATTAAATTTAGTCACAAATTTTTTATTTTATAAGAGTGAGAGCAAGCCAAAAAGAAAATTAGAGATGAACGTAATTATTATTCATATGTATGGTAAGACTCCAAATTAAAGGTAAGAGATTGACTTTTGCATTCAAGTTTTACGGTTTACAAATAAGAAATATTTGCACTAAATATCACTAAAACTTAAGTCATTTCTCTAAATAGTACTTAAATTGTTTTATTCTCTAAATAGCACTTAATAATATCCATAATGACCAGTGGTGGCGAACAATTACTTGAATAATGACTAATAATGGATAATGACTAAAAGTGCTACATTGGGAAAAAACACATGTAGTGTTATTTAGAGAAAGTCATTATGTTTTAGTGCTATTTACGTAAATTTCTCTTACAAATAATTAGTGAAAAATTTGATGGAGTTTCATTTCAAAAGCCAAACAATCACTTTTAATTTGAGATTAAGGAAGTATCTGCTTTGCTTTTCCATATCGTAATTTGACTAACTATATATTAGAAAATACACTACTAATTAAAATATGAAAACATACTATAATATTTGTATTGAAAAATATTTATAATACATTATTTTAGTAGTTTTTTGCAATTATATTTTCAAAGATTTTATTGATTAAATATTAGGTATGAAAAAGGAAACAAACAGCTAAAAAAAGGGAGACAATAATAAATATAATGCCTTTTCGGTAACAGCGTTAGAGGTCAGACAGTGCGTAGTGCTCCACAGAGAGAGCCATGTCATCTGCCATTGCCACATCGGCGGGCTTCACGGAGGAACACCGCCCCTTGGTGCCGTAAATTATTCGCGTGAGACATCTCGTGGCCACAACTACGGTACTTCAGTCGGTTTCTTTTTTTACTACTTTTCATTTAAATTAATTATTCTACTTTAACGTCTATTTTGTCCATAACGTTTTATACATAAGTCATATATTATATGACAAATGATATACAACAACAACAACCCAGTTAAATCTCACAAGAGTAGGGTCTGGGGAGGGTGTGTGTACGCAGACCTTGCCCCTACTCGAAAGTAGAGAGGCTGTTTCCAAAGAGGCCCCCGGCTCAACGTCGAAAGTTGCATTGTTTGACTAACTGCTACTTCATTAATTAAAGAAGCGCAGATAGTTTAGAGATCCATTTTGATTTATTCCATCACACCCCAAAGCCAAAAAATGGTGAAATTTTGGCTCCATCGGAGATAATGGAAAACAAATGATATGTTGTTGCAAACTTTTTACAAGATCTATCCAACGACACCAATGTTGCATATGTATTTTTGACGTTAATGTTTTGCATTGCTACAGAAAACGTAATGAAAGAAATTTGTACTTTTTTTGTGCAAACTACGTCAAGCCAGACAATAATGTAGACATTGGAGAAGTCATGCACCGACGATGAATAAATCGCAAGACGCGCCCATATTCGAAGTAAAGAAACACACAACAATCTAAAGTGAATAAGATGGTGAGTGAAGTTAGTTTTGATGTAATGTTGTGTAATTGGGAGTGATGGTGGAACATTACTCATAACTTTAGAGTTAGCATTTTGAAAAGTTAAAATTTTATCTAAAATATTAATGTTAATAAAAAATGTTATTTCTTGACAAGATCATAACATTGATTAATTATGTGATTCACATCATCCAAATGGTTACGGAGAATAAAGATAAATTCAACCCACAAAGGTGCAAAGTGAAGGAGTAAAAGCATTGAATCCTCACCCTAATTAATAAGCGAGGGTCAATTCAAAGGAGACGCGCCGGCCACTTCCACAATTTTTTTACTATTTGCGTCATCACCTTGCATTGGTAAAGCTATAAATGCTTGCTAAATTGGATATTACATTTAATCAAGGTCAATGCATTCACATTAATTAATACTCCTATTAATTAGATGGTTGACAACCAAAATGAATATCTACCTTTTCTTTCATAATTTATTTGTTTATCGATTATGGCTGGACATAGAAATTAGAGGGAAAAAATGACTCGATACTACTTTTAGAAATCATCCTAAATAGGACTAAAACATAGAGAAAAGTACCAAAACAGGACTTTCATGTTTTTTTTTCGGAATAGGACTTTGCACTGTGGTAATGTGACTTTGCATTGTGGTAATGTGGCAGTGTACATGTGCAAATTACTATACTTTTTTGGTAATGTATATTACCATGTTTGGTAATGTAAGTCCTATTTCGGGAATAAAAACATGGAAGTCCTATTTTGGTATATTTTCAATGTTTTAGTCCTAGTTTGGTCTTTCTCCCTACTACTTTTGCAGAATATATTCCCTCTGTCCCAAAATATTTGCCACACTTGCTTTTTTAGCAGTCGTGGGAACTTTTGTTTATTTCTACATTTTCATTGATTATTTGATAAAATAAAATATTCTTGACACTTCTTATTTTGAAAAACTTTTCATGTAATTTTTTGATATGTAAATTTTATTTTTATTTCTATACCAATATGTAAATAAAATCAATTGAAAAAAATTGATATTTTATTTCGGGAATACAAGTGTGACAAATATTTAGGGACGTAGCTAGGGAGTATAATGAAAGGATATATACATCAACTAGTTTATTTCTCTAAAGGAACCTTAGAAAAGTATTTTTGGGACACATAAAAAAGAAATTTTGATAAATTTTGGAGGTGGATAGAATACTTTATGTACTCTCATATATTTCATCCGTCTTAAGAATATTTATTCAATTTTAACTTTTTTACAGTCAACTAAGATCCATCTTTGATCTATAATTAAATAAAAATTACATATATGGCATCTTAAAAAATAATTTGCAAATATTTTACAAGATAAATATATTAAAATTATTCTTATATCAATATCTAACATAAATTTTATTTAAATAAAGGTTAAGTTTATCAATTTTAATTGTAAAAAGGCAAAACTAGAGAAATATTATGAGACTTAGGTAGTAACAAAATATGCAAGCGACGCAACCGTTAGCGACAATCAATGAGGACAGTCATATGCGAGGTTGAAACTTGAAAATGACATTACTAGCAATAACTAAATACTCGAGATAAATATCCCCTTAATGTGTGTAACCATTTTTGCTTATACACTTAGAGAGTGTTTGAGAGTGTGATGAGTAATGGGAACGTGAAAATCATAAGTTAGAAGCAGAAAGCAGTTATTTTTAGTTTTGCTGGAAAGCACTTCTAGACTTTAAATTCTACTTTTAAAGCCATATTTCATAAGCTATAGGTGATTGCCAAACATTTAAAACTATGTTTTAGTAAAGTAGAAGTTATAAATTATTTTTAAATGCACTCTCAAGCACCCTCTTAGTCCTTAGAATAATCATTCTCTTTATTTATTTAATAATTATAATTATCTTATAGACTTCTAATATCTTTACTATTATTTCTCTAGATTATTTAATGTTTTCTTGTTGATTTTGCGTTAAATATTGTTTCCCTGTATGGTATCAAGGTAGTTTTCTCTTAATCAAGATCTTCAATCCTTCTCACACTCCTCAGGTTGATTAAGGCCTCATTTGTCACCAACTTTCCTTCTGAGCCCATTCACCTTACCAAATCAAAGCATTATACTCACCAATACAGACTTTCAGAGATGTTCAGTCTAATCTACCTTAGTTGGTCTCGATCCTTTTAGGCATGTTAGTATTGTCACTACCTCTCTACAGTTTCTTTTCTTGACACTTTAATTCTTACCAATTTTTAAGTATACATTTTCGTACCACCATCGCCTATCCAGCTAGCGCCGCTCATGATAGTAGGTCCCGTCTCCCAACTAGCCTTGCGAGTAAGTCTTGCATCCCTGTCAACTCTCTCAAAGCAAAACTAGTAAAAAGTCCTCGTGGTACCGCTTCATTGATGCCTTCATCGCCAACATGACCATGATTACCGTCGAACTTGTTATCACTTGGAGTCATGTGGATGATGATGATCTTGTTGTTTCCATCATGACCCAACTTGGCAAAGACTATCACACCATTTACCAAACTTTTTGGGGCATGATATTGATGTGGAACTCTCTGACATTCTCATTGATTGCAAACAACAATTTGATGTTTTTTGAACACTCTTCTTCCCTCTAACTTTGCTTAGTGCACGCCCAGGGTCCTATCATTGGTGAGTGGACACAAAAATTTAGATTTTGAAAACTTGTCTAATGATATTTGTTTAAAATAGAAAGAAACAATATAATATATCATGGTTAGTCTCTTCTATTAGAGGATATATTCCCTCCCTCCCAAAACAAACTTCTTGCTTTTCTTTTTTTGTGTAGCCTAAGAAAATGTAAAACTTATGGTTGATATTTATACATAAGAGCGATAAATAACGTAACCACTCAATACTTACTTTACAAGGAATGAGATGTTTATTTTGGGGCAACCAAAATAGGAAAGTTATTTCGAATTTATCCTCTCATAACATATCACCCCTACTGTCGAGAGCAATCCTATACGAGGTCTAGAAGGGAATTATTAGCAATAAATTACTCAAAAAATGCCCCCCCCATTAATGTGTGTAATCAATGTTGGTTATACACTTAATCCTTGGGAGAGCTGTTCTCTTTAGGCAAGTATTAGTGTAATTAGCATGTACACTTCTAATCTCTCTTAAGCGGTGGACCATTCTGCAACCCGCTGACGCTCTTGATCATTACTAGGAACGGTCGACCGCTGATAGTAATGGTCAACCGTCTTGTGCCTAGTTGCACGGTTGAGGTAATGGTCCACCGTCCGACGGTAACGGTCGACCATTCCGAGCTACTCTAGTACCGGAAAACCTACCTGATTTTTGGGCTGTAAAATCCTATTTTTGATACCATTCAACGATAAATTAGTATGAATATCATGTCCAAACTAAATATGATGTTTTGATAAATTCAAAACCTTATTTGATCCATGACGATAAGCTAGGGTGTTAACAGTTAATGCCAGGCCGCTGTTTGTTATTAAGTATTATGATGATTGTTATTGATTATTGATTATGGTGAATGAATCTTGATTAAAAATAAATATTCTAATTAAAATGATGACTATGAATCATTAAGGCTATCTAGAAGAACTCTAAGATAGACCCAATGTGATTTATTAGTTTGGGCCTTGTGGGTATGATGTCTGGTGGTTTGGGTAAAAACGTACGTACTGGATCTACAAACCAAACTAGAGGATAACTCGTTTGGGGATACCACCACCCGACAGTGAGTAGTTTGTTGTTCGGTTATTTGAGTGTGACTAATAAGATTTGAAGAATAGGTCATGATTTTGTGTTCTGCCTTAGACTAAGAATAATTTAAGAGCATTGTTATGATTTTTTACCTAAGACTAAGAATAGTTTAAGAGCAATGTTGACATTATGAATATTGAATATTGATCTGAATATTTTGTGCATGTTATAAAATGATTGGATATGAATTATGATTCAATTTATGTTGATAGATGTTCGATGCATTATATATCATTACTCAGCTTCTTCGATGAGCGTGTAGTATATTTTATTTGCTACATGCAGGTAAACAAAATAAAGAATGATATAATTTAATCCTGGTGGCATGTGGGGACACGAGATGTCAGATGAATGTGTGATGATTTTGATCTGTTCAAAAAATATTCAAAAATGAATTATTGATTGTGATGTAGAACTATTTGTTAATCTTTCGCAATTTGATGAACTCCATTACTATTTCTAAATATTTTTATGATGATGAAATATAGTTTCAAGTGTTAAATTATTTTAAATTTTTACATTACCAATTTAATACTTAAGTTTGAAAGGGTCTGCAAACCTGGACGGATTAGGGTGTTAAGTTTGTACTTTTTAAAATCAATTTAGCATGCACAAACATTGCCAAGAAATAATATAAGAATGAAGCTAATTACTACACGTATGATAGTAACTTATAAAATTGATAATAACACATAAACTTAGATAAATATAAAACACTTAAGATAAAAAGAGTTTGATAAAAAGTAAATATTTTTTGGTCTTTTTAAAAATGGGAAAAACAACATCTTAAGATATGATAAACTACTTCAACTTAGGTAACCCATGAACACCATCAAGAACCCATAACCAAATTAGACAACCACACAAGTCAAAATATTAAGTGTATAATAGGCACGCAGATGATATAATACTTAATTTACATACATAAGAATAGAAAATAATTCAAAAGCTTGAGTTGAGTCATTTCATTGACCACATATAGAGGGTCATCAACTCTCTAAAAGGCTCGGAGTTGTGCAATTCAAGAATTTCATTATGAGATACATTAAGAACCAGAATTCTCTTCAAGCGCTCAAACAATGATTCTAAAAGAAGAAAAAAGTCTATAAAAGAGCAAATTATTTTCATTCTAACTCTCATGCATCATCTATTCTTAAACCGTAAACACTATAGACTTGGTGTAGAAGAACGATGTCTAGTTTACTCCATTTATTATCACGATTCCATATTTTAAAAAGCCCATTAGTCGGGGCATCCTCAAGACCATTAGTCACGTTAAAGTACAGGAGATCATTAAGATTGTTGACACCTGCAGATGTAAGCTAATTCATCCTATAATTAGAGCTTGAGAGATAGTTAAAGTTACCCACAATATCTCATGGCTTACCCATCTTGTTGAAATTTTGGTGGGCTAAGTGAATCATGTGGAGTGTTAGGTGAGATTTGACCACTTTTTTTTATATAAAGTTCGGATCCACTTTCTAACTAAAACTTTAAGCTTATGAGTAGTAATTTACCTTTATTTATATGGGAGTGTTATGTTTTTTATTTTTCCGGTGTGGGATGTGCCCACGAATTCCCAACCCATTGTTAGTTTCATGAGCTGTCATCCCTCATTGTTGTTAAGTTGAGTTTTTGTAACTTTAGCTAGATTTATTTTTGACCAACGAATAGGTCTTAGATGTTGTAGTTGTTTAATTAGTCGTTTTGTGTTAGAATAAAGATGTAGCATCCTGTTTCTAAAGCATTCGATGCATCACTTGGTCCATCTTATGCTGTGAAGGAATCCTTGCAGAAATAGAGATGCGTTGGGCCTGTTTGTGTATGTAAGAGCAAAGCTGCGTTGGAGTGTTCTCCAAGAATTATATTAGGGATATCAAAAGGAGTGCAACATTGTACTCATTGCGATCGAGATAGAGTGCAACATTGTACTCACTGCGATCGAGACGGCTATAGTTGAGAAGGATGTTTCAAACATATTGGTTACCCGAAGTGGTGGCAAGGTAAAGTGAAGGGAGACAAGGCAAAACCAAAGGCTTATTATGTTGAGGGAAGTTCGAATCCCATTCCTGGACTCACCATGGAACAATACAATGCATTCTTGAAATGCTTTGCATGTGGAACTGACACAGGTGTTGAAGGGAACAAATAGGTGGCAAATATGACAAATAGATTTGATGATGAGGGTGATTGGGTAATTGACTTGGGAGCTATCGAACACAAAACCTACCTTAGTAACATTCTTGTTAACAAGAGAAAAGACCAACATGAGATGCCTGTTATCATTCCAAATGGTGATACCATCTCGGTTGAGGGAAAGGGTGATTACACCCTGTCGGGAGGAACTAAGATCAAGGGCATATTGCATGTGCCTAAGTTTACTTGCAATCTTTTATTAGTTAGCCATCTAACCAAAAATCTCCAATGTTCAGTGACATTCTTTCCTAATGTTTGTGTTATGCAGAGTCTCCGATCAAGGAACTTGATTGGTGTGGGTAAGTGAAAAGGAGGTCTATACCGAATGGGGATGTTTGAAAAAAAGGAAAGCCATGGTAGTTACTATTAAGAGGTGGCATAAGAGGTTGGGTCACACATCTCAAGAAAAACTATTTAAAGTTGATTGTTTGAAGGGCGTTTCTTTTAATCTTAGGAATAATGTTTGTGATTCCTGTTAAAAGGCTAAACATACCAGATCTCCTTTTTCGTTAAGTGAAATCAAAACCAAAGAATGTTTTGAGTATTACATTGTGATGTGTGGGGCAAGTATCATGCTCCTTCATTTTCTGGGGCAAATTATTTTTTATCCATCGTGGACGATTTAAGTAGAAATGTTTGGATTTTTCTCATCAAGTATAAAAGTGATGCAATCACTTGTTTGATAAACTTTTGCAAAATCGTTGAAACCCAGCTTGGTAAAATCGTCAAAAGAATAAGGTGTGACAATGCTGGAGAATTCACATCCAGTCTTATGTTGAACTTTTACGCCAAATAAGGAATTTTATTGGAAACCACGTTTCCTCACACCACTCAAAAAAATGGGGTTGTTGAGCGTAAGCTTAGACATTTGCTTAACACGGCGAGGGCCTTGCGTTTTGAGGCGAATTGGCCAAAAAGGTCTCAGGGAGAATGTGTTCTAACGGCCGCTTACATTATCAACTGGTTGCCGTCTAAAACTCTCGGTCGTAAAACACCATATGAATTACTATACAATCAAAAACCCAAATATGACCACATGAGGGTTTTTGGTTGTCTTACTTATTTTTGGAGCATCCAGACTAAAGGTGACAAGTTCGAAGTAAGGGGGAGACCTGGTATTTTTCTACATTACCCTCAAGGGACTAAGGGCTACAAAATATATGATATTGAAGATAAGAAAATGGTGGTGTCTCGCGACATAAAGTTCCACGAAGACACCTTCACATTTTCAGTCCAAACCCAGCTTGCAAATGATCATGACATTTTGATTCCTTAGAAGCCTAACACATTGAATGCTCAGATTGTGGACAAACATTCATTCCCAATGAAGCTGCAAGTGATGGGGTTGAGTCTGGATCAGAAAACCATGAGAATGATGAAGGATGCCTAGGTTTCAATGATGAGTTAGTACCTCCTCCTAACCTGGAACACAGGCCAAAGAGAGATCGAGCCCTACCCAAGCATTTGAAGGATTTTGTTTTTGACCTTCCCCCTTCAATTATTATTATTATTATTATTATTATTACTACTACTACTATTATTATTATTATTATTATTATTATTATTATTATTATTATTATTATTATTACTACTACTACTACTTCTATTTCTATCCCAGTGTTTATGTTCACTTTAACTTTTTGGAATCAAACTGGACGAACGTAGAACATGAATTACTCTCAACTTGTATTGCATATTAGTATAATGAAATAAAATATGAAAAGTTCTTAACAAAATAAATATAATTAAATTATTTTATACAAATATACATCACATTTTTTTTAAAACTCAAAATTTATCCAATTTGACTCAAAAAAGACAAACTGAACAAATATATTGTGACATAGGTAGTATTACTTAATTATATGCATATATCATTATAATAGTAGTTATTAGTTAGATATATTCAATATCAAATAATGTAACACAAACTAATCGTTTACTAGTAACTACTATTATGTAATAATCGAAAAAGATATCAGCATTATCTTTCAACATTTTTTTTAAATGTATCTAATTTAATCTAAAAAGATCTTATCTGACAAACTAGATTTGATTAGATTTGATCTAATCTAATTAGATTTTACCATATAATCCTCGTTATACTCGGTATGAAAAAGACAGCCATTTTGGGACAGGAGTAATGTTCATGCCTTTATTTCATTAAAAAAAACATTTATAGAATAGAAAACTGAAGCAAAAGCCAGCAGAATATAAAACACAAAACAAAAGAACATCCTTTGTACTTAAGTAGTTGGTGTAGATTATACAGTACTGAGCTCATAGCCTTCGAAACAATACCATGGAATAAAAAACAGTTCTAAAACCCCAAAAATGTTACTCCTCCCATTTATTCATTCATTGTGTTTATACATCGTTACACGAAGGGAATATTTCTATAGCAATTAACCTATGCTAGCTAATCTTTGAAAGAAAAAATAAATTTACAACAAAGTGGTTTTACATAATGCTGCCACGACTGTATGGTTATTTGAGAAGGCGCTCTGCTTTGTGGCTGCTGAGGACTATAGCCCTTGAGGAAAATTGTTAGGGCGAGACACTGGCCTACGTTGGCTGTCTAAGCATCTGTTGAAGCTGAAGGACCTGCTCCTGCTGATCCCGGGGCAATGAGCTCAACTGTTCAGGCGTGAGACTCATCACTTGCTGCAATAGGGTCGACTCCACATCCGGGGTTAGCTGCAAGTGTGGAAGAGATGAGAATAGTACAGACTTTAAGTTTAAAAGTAATTGTGAAAATGGATGAGGGAGAACTAAAAATGGCACGTGATTGTTTCAGAAGTTGATTTGCTGACATGAATGCGGCATTTCCATCATTTCCGATGGAGCCAAAAGTTGATTGTTTTTTGGCTTGGGGTGTGGTGGAATAAAGAAAAATGGATCTCTAAAGTGTTTGCGCTTCTTTAATTAATGAAGTAGCAGTTAGACAATCAATGCAACTTCCGATGTTGAGCCGGGGGTCTCTTTGGAAACAACCTCTCTACTTTCGAGTAGGGGTAAGGTCTGCGTACACACATGCTCCCCATACCCTACTCTTGTGGGATTCAACTGGGTTGTTGTTTTTGACATGAATGCGACAGAAAAGAATATGTTATGATGGATGTATGGTGTGACTATAAACAATTGAGGGAATATGGGTTTAGGCATGTCAGTTGTTGAGAAGTCAGTGCCTGTTATGGAGAGTGAAGTCTTGTAGACAGGGAAAAAAAGTGAGGCCTTATCACAGAAATAATGTTCATATGACAACACAGATGGATGCAAAACAGAAATGTATACGGTGAAAGCTTACCTGAAGAGCATGTTTCTCAGAACTTGAAGCCTCTTCCGTTCTGGAAACATGTTTTCCAGATATGCTAGCTAGCCTTGAAGGTCTTGTTACCAAATTATCCACATTCAATTCTCCTGATTGATAGGAACTCCTTCCATCATTTCGTTTTGATAACTTTGATGGGTGATTCATAGCATCTATACTATCATTTAGCATTCCAGCTCTCTCAGGGAGCCCTGAAGGTTCAAATGGTCTTTTGAGCGAAGCTGAATTGCTACCAGATTGGGTTTCAAGAGGATACTTATTAATGTTGTCAGGAGGAGCAGACAATACCGAGGAGCCTGGCTGTTAATGGAAAGAGTAAATTAAAAATCCTTCCACATGCTTTAAAAAGCCAGAAAAGAATTGGCAACCACTTGAACACTATTTTTTCAGCAGAAATGGCAAATATTATTGTAAAACTTAATAATTTTTGGGGATTTAAACATTTTCGGAGGCAAAAAAAAAGAATTAACAAAAAGAAAGTCAAGCTAAGTGAGCATCATCTATTCCTCAAGTTAGTCCTAACATGCTGAATATTTTTTGTATTCACCATTTCACCCCCATTTCTTTTCAAATTGAAGGATGCTACCTTTAAGTTCATGCTGATGAAATGTAGAAGTGCTAAACCTGTATTGATAAACAAGTCAACACAAGCCTTAGCCTTGAGCATTTTCAAAAAGTGCATTTTTACCCAATTTCCTACCCGCTGTATACAGTGACAGGTAGCACCAAAAGTTGTTACCTGAAAACATTTTTCAGTTGATGGTGGACATGCTAATAAAGAAGGTTGAAATGAACCGTTATGGGCAGCAGGTTGACTGTTATAGGCTAAATTAGCAGGTCGAACAAGTCCCATTTGAGGCAACAAAGGATGACGCATTTGCTGCATCAACGAAGAGGAAGTGCCATGAATCTGTGGAATAGCAGCCAAATCATCCTGGGCTCGAATAGTTGGAATGGAATGACCTCCAGAATTTATTGATAATCTCCCATTTTGAAAGTTGTTTTCAGCCAATAATGGAAGCTTAATCTGATGTTGTGTTTGGGGCAATGAACTGTGAAGAGGGGGAGCAACCCCAGGAAGCATTCGAATTGCTAGCTGTTGATTGTGATGATTGTCGGGCAATAGAGACTGTGGTGGAGGAAAAGATGACTGCCGAATATTAGGCATTTGTAACTGCAAATTTAAATATTTGAAGGATCATTAAATAAAGTATTTCAACAAACTTTCCCTCTGCCCCATAGAAATTGCCCATTTTGAAGAATGTGCAACTTTTTAAATTTTTGTAAGGTACAACACTTAGAAAGAACTAAATATACCTATACTTTGAAAAAAGAGAAAATGAAACTCTTTTAATGAGACAAAAACATGTTGAGAAATAGGATTCTTTTAAATGGGACGGGGAGAGTAATAGTTTTAAAACAAGAAAATCTCAGCTAATAAATTTTAATAAAAAAAGTGTTAACAAAACAAACCATTTGAGGAGTAACCAGTCCCAGCATTAGTTGTATCTGCAAGTAAGAGACAACAGGTCAAGGATGATAGAACACATGAACCAGCTAATATGCTACCACACTATATGTACGCAATAACACAAGTAAAAATGGTTGTGTGAGCTAGTCATACTGCCTATAGACAGGCAGAACATCTTGATTAAATTCTTTGACTCATGCTTGCATGGACTGGAAGAATTGTGCTATGATATTGGTTATGTAAAGAACTGTTGAAGCATAGCTCGTTTGGACATCATCACTTTACTCATCATGACATCATTGCTTAGCTCATCTTTCAGTTCATAATTCTGTAATTAGCTTTGACTATGGCTCAGTTTGTACAAATCAAAGCATAAGAAATACTCATTCACTCCGTCACATTACACGTGGTATCAGATCCATCAGTTTTTCTAGCATGAATAGTTCTTTTTTGGCCCACACTGTTCAGCATCTCTATGGGCGGTCCATCTGATCTGAAACAACCCCCTAATTTGTCACCTCATTGTGACTCCCCGCCATGAACACCGCTGCCTCTACACTGGTCACACACCCTCATGCGTCAACTGGCTGAGAAGAAGGTAGTTTAGGGTCCGTATGATTGGGGAAATATTTTCTCGGAAAATTTTGATTCCATTTTCTCCTGTTTGGTAACATAAGTAGTATGAAATATATTTTTCAGAGGAAAATATTTTCTCCCATCATAGGTAAAATAATTACCATTAGATTTTGAAGGAAAATTCCTACTCACTCACCGCCCTTGCCCCCATCTGCCACCCCCACTCCCGTCTCCCATCCCCACCACCCCCATACC